GCTGTGATATTTGTTCTTCACGACAAAAAAAAAAAAAAAAAAAAAAAAAAAAAAAAAAAAAAAAAAAAAAAAAAAAAAAAAAAGAAGAAGAAGAAGAAGAAGAAGAAGAGAAGAAGAAGAAGATAGAAGAAGAAGAAGAGAAAGAAGAAGAAAGAAAGAAGGAAGAAGGAGAAGAAAGAAAAAAGGAAAAAAGGAGAAGAAGAGAGAAGAAGAAATACTATTTCAATTCTGTAGTTTTTGATATGGTTCAGCTTCTTTGGCAGTTTGAAAAATAATGGAGACTAAGCCGAAAATTGAGACTACCACCATATATTTTACCATCCCATAAACATATTGGAGAAAATTTGTTATTTCTTTCAGATTGATTCAGAATATCAAATTTAAGAAAAAGACAGAGATCCATTTGGTCTGTCTAGGTTGGTTTGAGTTCTTTTTTTATAAATTGCATTAACTGCAAATCCAATTAAAACATAAAAACTACTGTTTTCTCAGGAAAACTGAACATGACAATTTTTAAAGAGCTGATTTTTGGAACAACTTTGTCCAAGCAAAAAAATCTAAATCTTCAATTTTTTTCTAAAATGTTAACCAATTTCCAAAAATAGTGAATGCTTAAATTGGACCAGTACCATTTCTTGATAATTATGAGGAAAAATTTAAAGAAAAAGAATCGTTTCAATGAAATAAAAAATGCCCTCAAAAATCAAAATATGCTGGCTCAAACTCTGAAAGCCATGAGTTGTTCAGAATGATCAGTACAGTATAAATTTTGGAGGAAAATCAACGAAACGTTTAGCGTGCTTGCAGTTGACTACACACCAAACAACTTTCTGCCAATTACTTTTCAGTTCTAAAAACAGAGATTCTAGTCCAGTTCAAAGAAATTTTTCTTTACCAAGGCGTTGGGTAATTCGAATTTTTGTTTTCCCCCCCCCCACAAAAAAAATTCGCTCTTTCTGGACATGATTTCAGAGCTTTTTCTTACAAACTACATTAGAGAAAGTAAAAAACCAAATGATGGAGTGCAAAGCATGTGTAGTGATGCAATTAATGCATATTATAAAGCATTAAATCATAATAAAAAGTAGTAAAGTAAAACATTGCATTTTGATGAATTGAAGTTCAGACGCCAAAATTCAAAGAGAAATATTTTTCAAAAAAACCTTTTGTTTTCATTTGATTTTACGTACACAAATCAAGCAACCCACCATATAGTTTACCCCGTTTTTAAGTTTCCAGAAATGTATACTTCTGCAGTACACAGTTTTACACTAGTCCCTTCAAGCTCTATGTTCATATCTGTGTGTGAAATTATCCCCCTCAGTTTACATTTTGAAAATATTTTCCACATTTTGTACTTTTGAAACCATTACGGATTGTAAATGCTATTTTTAAAAAGATTTTGTTTCCTCACTAGGGTTCTATCATGTGACTAGATTATACAGTCAGCTGACAAA